AGCTTTTTGAAAATAACAACCAGGAATAGGAAATATCCAAACCTATTCCTGGTTGTTATTTTCAAAAAGACTTTTTTTTTAAGACCCACATTTTAATGTCTGTAATACAAAACATGTAACATCATTATTAATAAAAACAATTCAATTTTACACACAGCTGTTACTAAAATTTAATAATCTACAAGAGTCTTTTCAGTAGTGATCTGTTTTAGAATGTGCACATGAGCAAGTTGATTATTGTTTATTTGACAAGCAAGATATTTTTTAAATTTTGTAATATGAAATACATAGAGTGTGCAAGAGACACTCAGGCCTGGTATTTATCTAACTGAATTGTCCTATAATGCTTTCTAAATAAATCATATTTACATCAAAGACGAAACTGAATCATCGTCTAACATAACAGGAATTTCTGTTGTCGATACATTGAATCGCGAAGTCATTCTAAGTTACTGTATAATTTGGTGACAATAAACAAAGCAACTAGAACAAGGCCATCTCAGTGATCTTTAAAAACCACAGATAAACTAAATAAACAAAAACTTTTGCAATTTTCTATATCACTAAAACATGTAGAAAATATATGACATGCCTATGTATCAAAATTCTTTGCAAGTAATGTATTAGTCTAAGATAGCATTAGAATGTTTAACTTTCATTGTAGTCCATGAACAAAAGGGCACATCAAAGTTAACACTTTCTTACACTGAAAATATATTTCCGAGATAAAGGTATCTCAATCTTCTTCCTGCTGTCTAAGCATTGCAAAATAAATTTTCACACTCAGTGAACCAGTCTATGTAACCCACCAATTATGCACTACAATTGAACATGCACATATCATGTGACTACTTTTCACCAATAGTATTGCACTACCTACATTGGCACAGCTACCTCCCTCTGCTAATCCCACTCAGTCCTCACTTTCAAGAATTGGCAGGATCTTAAAGAATAAGTATCTATCAGAAATTAATTTTTAGTGTAAGAAAATGTTAACTTCTGATACAGTCTTACCTCTTCTCACACAAAGCAAGAATCCCACACTGAAAAGGTGGAGGGTCCAGTGTAACAGTGCTTAACAGTGAAACCATGATGAAAGTGACTGCCTAGAAATAACTGGTGTGCTCAAAGATGAAACTGAAGCATTGTCTAACCTAACAGGAATTTCCGTTGTCGAGACATTGAATCGTGAAGTCATTCTAAGTTACTGTATAATTTGGTAACAATATACAAATGCAAAAAAAAATAAAAAATAAACAATTGAATGCAAATATAGGAAAAGAAAACTGCTGAAAAAGGTATTTAAATGTCAAGGAAGAACAATTGTAAATGGTAGTTACATGCAATAAAACACATCTAAATGATCTATGCCAATCAAGGACTGAGTGGGAACATTAGATGGAGCTAGTTGTGCCAATATAGGTGGCACAATACTATTGGTGGAGGGTGTTCACATGCTATATTCATATTCAAAAGTGGTGCAAAATTTGTGGAGTATATAGACTAGGGCCTGGCATGGCCAGGTGGTTAAGGACTCGACTCCCAATCTGAGGGTTACGGGTTCGAATCCCCATCACACCAAACATGCTCGCCCTTTCAGCCGTGGGGGCATTATAATGTGACCGTCAATCCCA